TTTGTGGGGGCGAATTGCTTTGATTTTCCGGTAAGAACAGCCATGATTTCATCCTTTTAGCTTGATTTAGCTTGGGTTAACTTTGGTTCTCCAATTTTTGGCTAGTCCGTGAGTTTCCCTGCAACTTGCCGCCGACTTCTTCTTCCCCCTGCAGCTCCGGTTTTGCTTGCTGGATTCTGGTATGTGGCAGCTTCTCTAAGTCCTAATTTACCCCTTTAATTGTTGAATTTTGTCCATGGATTGGCTGCCCCTGTGATGTCCGAAAGTTTGCAAAAATTGGGGATTAATTTTGATAGCTTAAGCTATGTTTTTAAGCTTGGTTTAAGTGTAAATTAGCTTGATTAGTTGCTGTGATTTTTGGAGAAAATCCTGTGGAATTAGCTAGTGTTTTGGCCAATTTGTGAAAGTCGGGGTTACTGTTCACGTCGGGGTTACTGTTCACCGATACTGTTCACGGGCACTGTTCACCGACACTGTTCACACCCCGAGGGCCAATAATTAACGGGGATTTAAGTGATTAGTTTGTGATATAAGAATGAATTTGGAGATATTTGATCATGTGGAAAGTGATAGAAATAGCATTGTGATTAGGAGTGATCCTAATGATGATTTCAGTTTGAATGTGTGATAGTTCGATATTAATTCTGAGGTGTTTTGATTAGGTTCCCGATCGTTCTGTCAGTTAGTACGTGAATTGAGTGCTTGGTTTTATGCGAGTGAGGTAAGTAAATTTATGGTAATGCCCGTACTGTTTTGAAAGCATGTTTTGATTTGTTTTTGAAGTGGTGGCGGGACTAAACCCGTTTTACACAAGTATGACTGATTTGAAGTGAAATGTTTTGTGCTTTTCATGAAATTGAGCATGCCTATTTGAAATTTGAGTGACTGTCCTGATGATCTGAAAGTGATTGATGAATTATGATTTTTCTGATAACTTTTGCCTGTTTTGTCTCCGATATGGTCATGTTATTCGTGTGCCCGCTAGTGGGAGGTTTATAAACGCTAGCACATGTCGACATGTTACTGATAGAACCGGTTCGTTTCTGTAACCCTACTAGTGGGGGTTAAACACTAGTAATTTCTGTAGCCCGCCAGTGGGAGGTTTATAACACTGGCCGTGACCTATGGAGGAGACGTCTATTTCGTTCCCGTACTGTATCCGTTTTGCGTGATTGCACATGTGGCATGCTTTAAGTTTGATAAGGGGCACTCCATATTTTACTTACTGAGTTTATCTCATAGTTTTTTCTTGTCCACCATTTCAGGAAGTGAAACCGAGGACGGGGAAACCACGGGAGGTGACGAGTTAGAAAGCTAGCCATTTCGAGATTGATATAGATTCTAGAAATCATGATCTTGTAAGCTAGAGTGTATTGGAGATTTTATGATATTAGAGCAGATTTTAAAAGTTGATCTTCAGATTTTGGTGGTATCA